TCAATGAATACAGTCTCGACCTCGTGGGTCTAACCAATCTAGATACCCAAGCAGCAGATATGGAAGAATATGCCAATCCGAATCAAACAATATCCCAAGCAAAGATGTACACGTGTACTAATTCAGAATCAGTCAACACTTAAGCATTTGTTTATAAACAGTATAGATGCCTGGGATAGCGGTCGTAGTATTCTGAGTGCTTTTCTGGGATGAGTGTAATTACTCGATCCTGATTAGTAATTCCTACCATTGGTACGAATCTGGCTGAGGCAAAGATTTATTCACGTTTTGTTCAGTTCGGGGACAATTCCTTACTATACGGTCCATTTTACCACTTCTATAAGAAGCCCCAGAAATCTGATAACAAACTCCCTGGTGTTTCTTACACTGGTGGTGGCAAAGGTTCTTGCTGTAGTGGTAACTGACGTTGTTGTCTTAAAATCTCTGCCATTTCTTGTACTATGCTTTGCAGTCTATCAAGTCGAGCTGTGGAAGAGTCTGCCAACTCGTATGCCCTTACTTTATCTATGATCTACACAAATTCTTATTAAGCCATGCCAAATAAGGAATGCCCAATACAGAAATAAACACAGATACACATAGGTGCATTCGCACATAGGCACGTTGTTATATTCTCATTTCACGTATCATCAAGGCACAATTAATCACATATGTAATAGATGATTGCATAATTATCAGATATCGCATGCCGAACATTTACTAAGTAGTTACATACTCAAATCATATTCCACATAAACACCCATTTGCAAAATCGAATGCACATATGCAACTTTTCATGATTCATATGTTCATGTATGTGCATTATAACAAAACAAACTTGTCGTACACATTAGTGCAACAATTCATATCTCATATAATCACATGTTCTCATCGTCTGATTAAGTTTGCATTATACTTTATACAAAAGATCCCACAAATACACATATACTAGAGAGCATACGTAGTCAAATAATTTGCAATGCAAGTAAATCACAACTTATAGCACATAATTGTTCAAATCAAAACACTTAGCATATTCTTGATGCTTTTAATTTCATACTTATCACATGAATGCATCCTAGATCTTTTCTAGACGCTTATTGCTCTTTTGGACAAGTGTGTGAGTTATTAACTCGTGCTCTGATACCACTCTGTCATGTCCCGAACCCGCCCCCGTGGGTTAAGGACATAACCGGCTAGTAATCATGCCTAGGGCCTCAAACCAAACCAAACCAAACGTATTTTAATAGAGTTAACGAGGGCCAAATGGAAGCAATTTAAAACTTTGTCCATAGAGCTGTGCTTACATAGCTCATCATAACAAACCATACATATGTACATTAATAACTCACAACAGAAATACAGTACCATGAAGTTCTGTACAGACAGGAGCATCCAAAACTAAGTCAACCCATGAAAACTATAAATAGACATGTTCAAAGACTTCGCCAACATGACAACATAAAACAAAATGACAAAAGGCGAAAACGAGTCTCGTGCGTGAGACGCAAGGGCTGACTTTTCAAAACCTTTGTTGTTCACACATACTTCACTGGGGCTGGGTTTAGACTTCTCTTGGCTCACCTACAAACACATGAATGAGTGTGAGCGATAGCCCAGTGAATAATATCAAATAAAGGAGTTATACAAACGGTACGTAGAACAACATGTTTCAAACGGCCTTGGGCCCAGTTCATATTTCTATTTAACATATATATATACACAATTTAAGTCAAGTGACTGTGGTTCCAAACATACTGGCCTTTGGCCCATTTATCTTCCATTTGTCAAATTGGCCTTTAGCCTATTCAAGTTTTCATGTCAAGCTGGCCTTTGGCTCATTCAACTTTCATTCATGTCAAACTGGCTTGTGGCCCATTCATTCATGTTAATCGCCCTTCGGCCCAATCATTTATGTCAATCGGCCTTCGGCCCAATCATTTATGTCAATATGCCTTCGGCCCAATCATTTATGTCAATCGGCCTTCGGCCCAATCATTTATGTGAATCGGCCTTTGGCCCAATCATTCGTGTGAATCGGTCTTTGGCCCAGTCATTCGTGTGAATCGGCCTTTGGGCCAATCATTCGTGTGAATCGGCCTTTGGTCCAATCATTCGTGTGAATCGGCCTTTGGGACAATCATTCGTGTCAATCGGCCTTTGGCCCAATCATTCCTGTCAATCGGCCTTCGGCCCAATCATTCATGTCAATCGGCCTTCGGCCCAATCATTCATGTCAATCGTTGTCCACCATTCAAATTAATGAACTTACAAAACTTACATAGAAGTAAACAATTGGACAATAACATATCTCAAATATCTTGTTAAGACATTACTCACAGTGATCGGCTTGTGGATTTGCCTTGGAGCTTGACTCTACACATCATATAACACATGGTATAATAAATTGGATGGCATGGAAATGATATAATCAAAAGTGGTATTGCAATGTGTCATGTTGTATAACCATCTGTGCAATGCATACATTTTAACCCTATAATAAGAATGTGAAGATGTTTTACATTACCATGTGTTGATTGTTTCATGACATCACATTTGTACATGGGTTAAATTACACGAGCAAGTTGAATTGTAAAAATATCGTATGGAACACTATATGCGTAGTCATACATGGGAATAAAAAAGAAGAACAATTCGGTACCTTGATTGCCGTCTTTAGCGGTAGCGACAAGCAAATTACCCTTAAATCTACCTTTCAGGAATGTTCCGTCTAGAAAAAACAGAGGTCGACAATGATTGAACCCATCTATACAAGCACGTAATGATAAGAAATACTGAACAAACCTCCCACTTTTTTGATCAAATTCAAGATTAATGTAACTGTTGGGATTTTTTTCCATAACGGACTCACTGTACGACCTTAGTTGGTCGAAGTCATGGCATGATCCCCAAAAACTTCACCCATCGCTTTCTCGACACCCAACCATGCTACCCAGTAACTAATGTCCAATCCATAGTCATTTTTCAAATCAAACACCACATCCGTGGGGCGTACCAATGTCTGGCCACGCACCAAATCTGCGACAACACCAGAAACCAACTTAGACCCCGTTCGCGGGTTCCTATAAGTCTGTACCGCAGTTCCACAATTATGGATACTATCGAACCTCTTAACACATAACACCCCGGTCGATGGTAACACCCGCGCATGTATTGACCATGTACATCCTGTGGACGCTGCAAATTTGCACACTGCAGTAATCCAAACTGAATCATTTTTAACATACTTGAATTAGAATCTACGTTCCACTGCATATTTACATAGAACTTCATGGAATTCGTAGGCTCCTTCGTCGAAACATTGACCCACATGGGTAATCCCATACGCCTATTGAGAGGACAAAAAAGTCTTCGACTTGTTAGGGTAATATGTTGGTAATAAATCTGTTTGATTGTCATAGCCAAAAATCGGATTACCAAGGGGATTCACACCGTCCTCCACGCAATCCACCACCACATCATTACCCCCCGCCCCAATGTTACGAGCCTATATTAGTACATCAATGTGATTTAGCCCGAACGACTTACTAAGACACAACATATTATGGATATCATTATCACTATCCACCTTAAACTTCTTATATCCGGGGACATCAAACAACATACATACCTCACCTGGCAGCAACCCATCAAATTTCCCACAATGACATTAACCAACTGTGCAAATGTCCACCCGTATTGCAACCGAACTAGAACATTAGTCTGGCCGTACGTACACACCAACAATATACCATCACCCATACCTGTAATGCCAACATTTCCAAACCCATTATGGAAAACACAATATAACAAATCGAATTTAACGTGCATATCAGAAAACCCAACAATATGTACGTGATATTACCATGAAATCATTTTTTTTTAATTTATAAACAATTGCTATTAACATTAACAACATTGGTGATGTTTTTTACAATCTCCATTTCTCTCTGTAATTCATTCATATCCTAATAACTGTGTACCAAAACACAAGAAAACAACACCACAACATTGGTGATGTTTTTTACAATCTTTATTTTCTCTCTAATTCATTAATATACTAATAACTGTGTAGCAAAACAAAAGAAAACAACAAACCACACCAGCAGTTACCATTGCAACAAACACAACACCACCCCCCAGCACACCAAAAACATCACCAACAACACTGGAAAAAAACAAACAAAACAAAAACACAACAACACAATCAAACTATTGACCTGTTGCACCATGATGACCATAGACCACGCCTGACGAAACAGATCAAAAAATCACTAAAAATGAACATAAACCCATAATACCGTCGCCGCCGGAATGCAAATTGTTAAAACCCCTAAACAATAGCCCCAAACAATAACTTCACAAAATAATGAGACCAATGTTAAAACAATTCAAAACGGACTCCCCCACTATTTAGATGGGTTTCCTTATCCCCTTCGCTTGTCAACCAATTCATTACGGAAACACAAACAAAACAAGGATAACAATGTAAAATCATAATAAATTCAAAACCATCTAAATAATAATTACCAAAAAATTAGGACTAATTGGTGTACAAGAAAACTCTCAAAACCAAATGATTTAACTTTTTCTCATTTAGAATTTATGGGTAATTTTTCAAAAAAATTAAAGTAAAATTTGACTTTTCTAAAGGTGATTTAGAAAATGATTTTTGTAAAGTCGCATTTAAAGGCAGTTTTATAAAGAATGTTTTTTTATATAAATATTATTTTAGTGTGAAAAATAAAATATCTAAGTCAAAACTAAATTTTTTTTTTGGGTAAAATCAAATTTTCAAAAGTCAAATTTAATTAATTAGGATAATTAATATAACTTAATTAAAATTAATTTTTAGAAAGTCAATTTTTACGTAATATTTTATTTTTAATTTTAATTTTAATTAACTTTAATAGGAAGAAAATAACTTAAAAAAAATCATATTATAAAAAGGCTTTAAAAAAATTGATTTATTATGAGGAAAAAAAAGTCAAGAACCCACCGTATAATTGTAAAGAATAAAGTTTTGTCGGTATGATTGTGAGGGAAATGGGCCGGTTGGGCGACATGAGATTTGAGAAGAGGAGTGAAGGACACCCGCAGCAGTGCACAAGTGGTAGCAGCGGAAAATCGATCAGCTCCGACACCAAACTTTCAACAATGGCTAGAAACCGAAGCATCCGAACCAAAATCTTCCTCTTCCTCCTCTTTCTCGTCGCCTTCGGAGCTTTCGCGCCCGTCTTCGCTCCCCTCCCCTCTCTCTCCTCCTCTCTCTCTTCCCACCACAATACCAACAAAGTAATCCATCTCTCTCTCTCTCTGAAAACTCTTTATTTATCTCTTTTTCTAAGAACTGCAATTATTGTCTTTATAATATTTTCAATTTTGGCTTAGTTTGATTATTGAAATGGTAGGTAGGACGGTAATTGAAGCTATAATCCTCCGTTTCTGTTTGGATGATGAGAAAATATGGGAAAGAAAAAGAGGTTAAAGATTAAGTTTTCCGATTGGTTGGGAACTTGGACTCAAATAGAGTGTAAATTTATGGCGTTGACCATGTTACAAAACAATTGTTTTTCTGGAGCACATTTGTTTGAAACTTGTAGGAGAAAAGGGAAAGGAAAAAGCAAGGGACAAGGAAAGCCAATATTTTTTTTTTCTCTATTCAAGAAGTTAAATATATTTATGAAATGAAAAAAAGCTCATGACCAAGGAATGGAAAAAAAAAGAAAAGAAAAGGGATATCTAGAATTAAATATTGCTCACATGCTTTCCTTGTATATATATATATATATATTTTTTTTTCACATTGTTTTTGAGGGATGGGGGCCAAGGAATTGTGATCCCCATTGTGTTTTCTTTTCTTTTTCCCTTATCAAATTCATGCACCAAAAGGGCAAGTTAGTTTTCTTGCCTTTCCTTTGTTTTCTTGATCATATCTTTTTGCCATGCTACGCATAATACCAAGTTAATTTTTGTTGTCCTTGGATGGAATTGTCAACGATTAACCTTGCTAAATCCACTCAAATGCCTCTTCCTTTTCTTTTAAATAGGTTTAGCGAATTTTAAGTTGTGTGTGGTCTGAATAGTGCAATTTGTTTGGTTGTGATCAGGTTAATGTTCGAAAGTTTAAGATTGCTGAGGACATGTTTTGGAAAGACGGTAAACCTTTCCAAATTATTGGTGGAGATTTGCATTATTTCCGGGTTCTCCCAGAGGTATTTCTCTTAATGGTTTTACTGTTGTGCTAGCATTTTTGGATTTCAAAAATATGCTTGACAATGACCACATTGTATTCTTAAAATATGCTACATATGGAAATGAATAAGATAAACTGCAATACAAAATACGAGAACGTTCTTGGATTCCCAATACCCAATTTTAGTCCTGTCTGTAAGATCATTTTTCTTTGGGTGGGGGATTGGCCTCGGGAACCATCCAGTTTTTTCTATCCAAGATTGCAATTGATACTCAAGGGTGTACCTACAATTTTTTCATGGGGGTCCTTGAGGTAATTCTTGAAAATTTCATTGGAAATCCGCTTGATCAACGTTGTTTCTAATAAAAGTTCTAGGGAGATGCATGAAACCTGTAATGATCTTTGTAGGTGCAATCTGTTATGTGATTATGTGTTATGTGTTTATGTGCTATGTGACTTGTCTTGTTTGAATTGTTTTGGAGTGTAAGTTACCTTGGCGAGAGGCATAAACATTATGAGTTTGCATAACTTCTTTATTGTAGGTTGCGTTGTTTCATTTGCTTGAGTAATTACTCGTGGGGTAGTGCTGGGCCTTGGGTCAACATTTTTTTGCATGTGTTTGGGGTTAAGTGTGGTCTTGGTTGATATGTTTTATGATGTTTGGTAAGTGGCAGGTTGTTTAGTGAGTTTGGTTATTTTGGAACTACGCAGTGGATCTTAATGAATGTGAACAAGATGAATAGTTTAAGGTAAATCAAATTGTGAGTAAAATTCAATTAATGTTGTGAGTATTCTTGAATGTCATGTAGCGGAGTTGGTGATCGAGGGATTGGTAGTTTGGGGTGTTGAACGTTGGGACACATGATTTGATTTTAGATGTCTTTGAGATTGGTGGTGTTAGTTGCCTCAGAGTCGATTATTGATATACTTGAGTGTAGAAGTTGAAATTGATGAGAGAATGTGATGAGTGCATCGGGGTTCGTGCTAGCATACCAGTGTTCTTAGAGAAGATTTTCATAGTTAGCTTGTAAGAGCGTTATGATTTAAAGGAGGTAGTGACTAGGGTAGTTCAGTTGGTGTGATTAGGACTCGAGTAAATCCATGGAGGATTGTGTTTGACTCATTGGGGTTGATGGATGATAACACTTGATAGTTACTCTTGGTTGTGAGACCTCGAAGCGTAGAGGAGTATTTGGTTAAGTTTGGTGTTCGCTGTGATGGTGTAGTTGTGCAATTGAGATAGGAATTGTTAAAATTCAATGTATTATTGATTGTTGTATTTTGATGTTTTCTGTCTATTACAAATGGTTCCTTATATAGATGTAGGTGTAGTGGGTTAGGTTTAGTGGAGTAGGTGAGGTGGTAGTGGTGGTAGGTTTATTGATAAATTTCGAAGCGTAGAGGAGTATTTGGTTAAGTTTGGTGTTCCCTGTGATGGTGTAGTTGTGCAATTGAGATAGGAATTTATTTTGATATCCTTACCATTTTGACTATAAGACTGTCTTGTGTTCTTATGATATGAAACATGAGTCCTTGTATCATTTTTTTGTTTCGTAGTTGGGGTCATAAGAATCTGCATCAGTATCACATTAATCTTAGTCTATGAAGCATGGGTACTAAAACAAACATGCCGTACCCTTACTAGGTACTTACTGGGTACCAATACTTCGTATGGTACTTTTGCATACTTACCGGGTATCCAAAACATGTACCAAATTGTTTTTTCTTAATTTTTGCTGTACCCCAGACGTATCTAGTGTATGCCCAACCCATATCGTATCTCAATTGAAACAATATTTTCTTTTAATTACAGAGATAAAATTAGTTTCATTAGACTTTATTCATTTATTTTGATGCTTAGCATGATTTTAAAATTAAACTATGGTTTGTAAGTTATTTAATATAATGACATTTAATTTTTCGTTTATACCTCTACCTTTTGGCATTAAATGTGAATTGTAGGTTGGATCTCAACAAACTAAGTCATTTAACTAATTTTTGTGTTACTCCTAATTAAAAATAAATATTATTTTACAAATGTATCAAGCCGTACCTGTACCCTACTTTTATTAGATTTTATTGTATTGATGTACCCGTATTGTACTGGTCCGCATAATCATACTTGTCACGTGCTTTATAGGTCTTAGTAGTACCATTGAATTAGGTTTTTTTGTGTGCATTTGACCTTGAGTGATCGGTAGTGGTCCGGATGTGTAGTGCCTAATATCCTTTAGTAGAAAAGTGTGAGCATTAATTCAAATTTTACCCTACAGAGCCATTTTGATATTGATGTCTTGGATTTTTTTTTTTTTTAAATTTTTTTTTGTTCTTTTGGTGAACTACAGTTGGAGGAGGAGGAGTTGGTGGAGAGGATATTTATTGTTAGTGTTGGTCTTTAATCCTTTGTTAGAGCGACTGAAGTATGCCTTCTTTTGTGTGGAAGTTATTTTATCATGAATGAGTAGTGCTGTGACTCGCATTAGTCTTATTAAACCTTGTGCAGGAATAATTCAGCTGGCGGTTTTGGATAGAGCATGGGAGTAACTAGGAATATGAAGGTGTGGTAGAGTAATTTGTAATTTTTGATTGCATTGGTCTTTTGTGTGAGATTGGGACAGTAGTCATGTCATTTTGGTGTAACTCAGGTAACATCGAGACTTTATTCTCCACCCCTCACACTTTAGTAAGTTGGGATAGATTAGTTTCCAGACTTGTTATCGACCTTGTGAGTGTTCTCTTATTATTTGATTGGAATGCTTCTAGATGGAAGGTGGGACCTTTTATAGTTGGCCATGGGAGTGGCATTGCTAGTGATTACAATGCGGGTTAGTGATGGTGGAACTATCGTTGAATCAAGTAATGGCCTTGTGAGTTGCCGAGGTGTCGGGGTGAATTTGCGTAGCACGTTGAGCGAGGGTCATGAGGTGTGGATTTAAGGGGAATGGTATGACCTAGCCTTCAAATCGGTGAGTCTTGGTGAGGCCGGGGTGTGACAGTTATTCTTACAAATCATAAGGGCAGTGTATTAATGCTACCTTTCCTTGTCAAGAGACTCGGTGATGATATTTATGAGATATCAAAATGAGAACACAACATGACAAATGATGCTGATTCACGAGAGAAAGAGAGAGGGGGAGGGTTTAGATTTTTCTGATATGCATTTTTTTAATCAAGTTTTATGAGAAATAAAGCCATGGATGTTGCTTGTGTAATTACTCTAATGATTGTGATAAGGTATTGCAAGTGTTCTTGATTACATCTTGTTTATAAATGAGATCTTTATATGGGTGTTCAAAAAAACTGGTGGAACTGATAAACTGATCCAATATGGTCTAAACCGCCCGTTTGGTTTGGTTTTTATTAGCTTTGGTTTTCCTTTTGGTTCTGAAAATGGTTGAACTATTCAAATTGGTCCAGTTCCTGGTTCTAAGGCGTTGGGTAAAATGTTGAACTGAACTACACTGTGATATATTTGTTTATTTTTATATTTTTAATGTAAAATAAAAATATAAAAGTTTCTTATAAAGATTTGAACACTAGTGTTGATTGTGAAATTGACAAACTCTAACCAACTTAGCCAAACCAATTGTTGTTAGTTTGTTTATTGACATAAAACATATATCATATTTGTTATATAAAATTTCTAGAACCGTAGAACCAAATAGAAACAAACCGGTTTCTATGGTTTGGTTCCTAGGTTTAACGGTTCAGTTACGGTTACAATTTTATTTGAACCTTAGGCAACAATTTGGTTCCCGGTTTACTCTAGACCGGACAAATCCGATCTGTGAACATCCTTTATTTTTCAGAAAATTAATTTTTACTCATGACATTGAATAAATCATAATGAACTTTAATAAATCTCCTGACTGTTACACAGAAGATATAAATTTCTTGATGCAAATTCTTCATGTCTCGCTGCTTGTCAGGTGTTTACAATATATTATCATAAAACGACGCTCAACTAGTACACGTTAATGTGTGTTTGGGAGGGGAAATATTGGGTACACACCTAACCTTTCACAATATATTATCATAAGATTGCAAAAAATTGGTAACAAAATATAATTTTATGAGTGTTTTTGAAACTGGATGACTATTTCATCAAATAATCTGGTTTTAATTTATAATGCTTTTGTTTTTTGTTCTGTTCTGTGTTTTTTGTTTTGATTTTCTGATTTGGTGTCTATATTTTGTATGATTGCAGTACTGGGAAGATAGGCTTTTGAGGGCAAAGGCATTGGGCTTGAATACCATTCAGATTTATGTTCCCTGGAATTTGCATGAACCAAGAAAAGGGCAACTGGTTTTTGAGGGTATTGCAGATATAGTCTCATTTCTAAAGCTATGCCAGAAGCTGGATCTCCTAGTTATGCTTCGACCTGGACCTTATATATGTGCGGGTATGACAAAAACAGTCAGTTCAAGGAATTTTAGATGTTTTGTAAAATTCACACAATTTGTCAAGGTTGGGCATTCATGCTAGATTCAGTTCATGAGGCCTCAATCACTAATCGCTTTTTTTAAAGTTCCATTGTAAACACT